CCAAAAATACCTCAAAAATGGCGGATCTCCACCCACAATAGTGTTGTACCTACGTCGACATAACATATCGACATAGGCAATTCAATGTAAATATAAAATAATAACATCATTTAGTTCAATTCGAAACAAAGAAATAAAATAATTGCTAAAAGATATGACTCATGGTTAAGCATTCACATAATCATAATCCCACTAATATTATAAATATCAATACCATTAAAACCTTGATTCAACGATATCTTTATATTAGATTCTTAAGCGAGTACTGTATTAAAAAAATCTGACCCTTCCAGATAATGATGGCTATAGAACGTTCCTCCAAAATCACGTTGACTGAACTTATTTCATATACCTATATAAAGTCAGACAACTAAAAATACCATCGAACACCGTGCGTTTTCCTGTAATGTGAAACAGTACGCTGCACATAGGAGTATTCGCATAATAAAACTGGTCAACATTATTTTTCGCATTTTTTTGCAATTTCATCGAATGAAAGACGAAGTGCAATGATATTTTATATTTATTTATTAAATATTTATTCTTTTGGCGGAAATGACGATGATGATGAGATATTTATTTTTAAAAAACCTATACAAATTAAAAAAAAAAGATTAGACAGACTCAAGCTGTTCATCTTCATGTTCTTCGTCTTCTTCCATACTTTGTTCGCCATTATTTTCATTTGGATGTAAAAGCGGTGTACTTGCGACCATAAGACTGATTGCTTTCATCGAAAATGGCTTACTTTTCTTGTGTACCTTTGGTCTGCTACAACTTAAATACGGGTGTGAACTTAGTAACAGCCTGTTTAATATATCTCTGTTGCAATCAACTCGGGATATTTTCGAGAAAAATTTAATCTATAATAACATACGGTATGTGCTTGTTGCGGGCCTCTGCTGCCTCTTCCGATAATTGGCCAATAGGTAGGATTGCATTAGATATGACTTTGGCACCATGCATTAAAATTTGTGTATAGTTGATGACATAGGACGCCAACCATAAAAAATTGTGTACATTTTAGCAGTTTCATGTGCATAGGCTCCAAATTTACCAACATCAATGCCGTCGCCACTTGAAATTACTTCTAAGATTACTTTAAATCGTCTTATTAGATCGATTTTCGTTATTTTTCAAGAAACCTTCATCCTTGTAACTACTGGATGTCCATTTTTTCTTGAATTCACTCTTGAAGCACCTTAGGGCCCGACTTAAAACAGTTTAGTGATCACTTGGACGTTTAGTCATTTCCACAAGTTTTTTTTCCATTAAAGAAAACTTTTCATCCAGTTTTTTCCCCTTGTATTCATTCAAGATGTCATATAAAGCTCTCCTGTTCATTTTTCTGGTGGCTTTAGAAGAATCTACGAGAGCAAAAAGAAAAAATTACAATGTTGAAATAATTACACTTTCACGTGCATTAACTTCGAATGGATAAAAAACAAAATGGCGGATTAAGGCGGACAATTTTATTGTGATATATGATTGGTATAAGCCTAAATTTTGTCTCTATATAAAAAATATAGCTAGACAAGACCAGACACTTAAACAAAAACACTGTTATAACAAAATTAAAAGTAATAATAAATGCTCTTAAACTGTCAAACACCAAGCGGTCACCGGTGACCGCAACCTATTGTTCTATAATTGTGTCTACAAAACCGGTACTCGACGAGTTAAAGGTCAAGTTAAATATAGTACCTATACGTATAATACAAACAGAAAATAATAAAATTACGTATTTAATTACGGTACATACTTTCCACTTCCATATTAAATTAATATTTTCACTGAGGTCAACCACGCGAAACTACAATAACGAAAGAACTAAACACCACAAACGAAAGCGTCGCAAACAAAGACGTGCGATTCTAAAATTGACTGCGTTCCAACTGACTTCACGATAAGAGTCAAGTGCGGGTAGAAGTATTATGGTGGTCAATTGACAGACTGGTTATTAAACTTATACAAAAAATGGTTTGAATGTATTTTTGAGTAATTTTTACTTTTGACTTTTAACCGATTTTAACTCCTATGTGCGCTGGGATGGGGACAGGGGTAGGTCAGAGTGCATTATAATGAATAAATGTCAAACGTTTTGCTGATTATAATAATATATTCATGGCGAGACAATAATAATTTTGTAAAAAAATTTTTTTTGAAACATGTTAGTCATGCTTTTTGCCGCAATATTTATATCTTATATCTAAATATGTAAGAATAACAGTTTATGAGAACTCTCATGTTCACTGATGATGCCATTGAAAATTTTGCTATTCTCTAAAAGATTACGAATTACGTTATCTTGAAGTTGAATAATATTCAATGTTCTGTTCACACAATCTTCTTCAAAATGGTTGGAGCATATTGTTAATACTGATGCATGTTATATTCTCCTTGCCTATTTTTCCATCCTCAAGTCCTTTAGAATATTATTGCTAATACTGCTATCGATAACTTTATAAAACGAAGATCAACACTATGAATAAAATGTAATGTTTACTAGTTCAATTTATGTCATAACAGTTTTATGAAAGTATACATAATAGCAGAAAACCTGAATTAGAAGTCATAATAAACACATATCATAATTTACACAAGAAGTATACATAAATAACAAAGAAAATTAGAACTAACCTAAAACATGACAATCCTCATTTTTACGTGAATTTGAATTACATCCCTTGATGCAACACTCGCTCATGATAGTTCAGTTCAGATTCATTTCACTTATTGGCAAAAAACTCGTATTAATATCGAATCAGTCCACTGTAACACCGAAAATATTTCCAAAAACCGTATTGTTGACAGATGATCTACCCAAAACATGAGCGGAATGTGTCTCTCTTAAATGGCGGAATGGGCCTCAAAGCGGAGCTTGGTGACGTCCTATGAAAAATGTTACCAGAAATTGAAGTTTATGATTTATGCTTATCTCTTTTTACATATGAAATTTACAACGTGTAAGAATGAGACAGATATATTTTAGCTTGGGATGACGACAGGGTATGAAAATTAGAAACCTAATTAGTCCGTAAGTTGTAATTAAAAAATATTAGACGCGTATTTTTTTAATTTTGTCGTATAATAAAACAATACTTAGATAAAACGAATCAAAGTTTAGGAGTAGGGTCTAAAACGTCATTTTTACGTATAAAATGTACATAAAAGTGACGTCACGCGACATTTCAAATCAATATATCGTCGAAAGTATTCGTTTCTGTAAGAAAATAAAAAATACGTGTCTAATGATTTAAAATAATCTACCAGACGGACGTTAAAATAAAAATTAGTCGTCTACCCTATTGTATAATATGCAACTTGCGGCATATCCCCTATTATTCATCTATGCATAATGCAGAACGTAACGGTTTTATTTTAATTTTCATATTTTTTTTCAAAGTAAAAGTTTTTTTTGTGAAGCATACGAGCAGACAGATTATCTGATGGTAGGCGCCGCCCATATACTCTCAGAACCAAAGAGTACTTATATATTATATAGCTAATTATACAGGGTGTCCCAGTCGACGATGAAATGGCACCAGGTGATTGACATGGTTCCAACAGTTATCAGAAAGATATTAAAAAAATCCAAGTCAGATACGTTTTTAAATTACAATAACTTATGAGTTATCCACGAAAAAGAACAGCCTGTGCCAGTCTTTTGACTCTCGTTGCTACAATTCTTTATTTTTTTTCGCTGTATTTTTACGTACCCACGTTATCCTGAATAGTGCTTCAATATTATTGAATCATAAAATTCTGAGCCAACAGCTTTATTTTGGAAAACAATGTCGTTTTTTCAAGTGTTCTTAATAAATTATTCACCTTAGTAGTTTAAGTGACTGTACTAAAAAAAAATTGTACTTCAGTAATAGTGGCAGATTTCACCAAAGTTGGCGCATTTATTAAGGATTCTAAAATATAGATGATGAATTTTTTTTTAAGGGGGAAAAAATCATCGAATATCTGCTCCCGCTTGGGTGTGGCGGGAGGGAGTGTCAGACTCTTACTGACTAAAAACCACCTCGTTCCTTTTCCTGCACGTCGAGCCGGAGCCCCGGTTACCCGTTAGGTTCTCCGCGAGTTCGAATCGGCATCGGCCCTGTTGGGCCCCATCTGTGGTGGTCTGATGGCTCTTGTAGGCGCGCGCGGAGCGCGAAGCGCCATACGCTCGGGTGGAAATCATCATAGCGCTCGTTAACGTCGCTGGAAATAAACCCCAAGCCGTAATCCGTCATGCACGTCATCTAATCACCGCCAACAATGCAAATTTCAAAATATATAATAAATATTTTCAGACATAGCTGATGTCAAGAGGGCCTAGTACGAGTTTGTTTTAGATACGTTTAATGTAATCTAAACGAAACCGCGCCCGGCGCTCTGATTGGCCGGCTCTAATGAAATAACCATTCAGAGCGCCGAACGCGGACTCGTGTCGATTATATTAAACGTAAAACAAAGAACTAAACTAAGCCCTAAGATCACAATTGTGTGTGATCAAAAAGTGAATGCACAGCGCACTTTTTTCACCTTAGTTCGAATGTAGAAGACTAAATAGGTAAGAAGTAGCTCGATGTTAAGTGTGGCGAAAGGCCCGACTATCAAACCATCTACAGCAAATCGTTCAGGATTGATAGATTGTTGGTGATTTCTAACTGTTCAGATACACCAGTCACCAAGCACAGTCTTATCTACTTATTATTTGTTAGCATCTTCATATACACAAGATTCATGACTAGGTACAACATTATTTTCCAGAATCTTCAAACAATGAAGTGGCTATTTTACGTGTTTGTGTGATATCTTATTGTTGTAAGCTGCACCTTTATGTGCCTACATATCTATTTGTGAACGTACCTATACAAAATTAATTAATTAAGGGTAATCATAATCACCTTTGTCCAATGCAGCTGAATTCCTATTCGGGCCCGTGGCAATGTTATCTGAGCCGATAATCACTGGGCCTGTCCGACGTTGATACTTGATATATACGATTTAGTACCAAAACTTTCATTCAGTAACTAAACATTCATCCACAGTGAGCTGTACTGATTACTAATTAAAAATGTTTGTGTTTTTCACTTTGCTGCAGCTGGCCGTTGTTGCTGAACTTGCATATGTAAGATTCGAGGCTTGTGGTAAGAAAGATGTTCAGTCCTATTGTATTTTTAATCTTCACGATGTCCTTAATGATAAGCGAAGTTTCTAATTATATTAGAGTTGATATTATACAATTGGAAAACTTAATTTGTATGCTACAAGATTAGGTACTCTCAAACTAAATTAATGCCTCCCTGCTAGATTTAAATTCAAAGCTACTTATTATTAATATTATAAAAGCAAATATGTGTGTCTGTTTATCCGTCTTTAATGGCAAAATGAAGCAACGAATTGACGTCATTTTCAAGAGAAGATAGTTAAAGAGATGGTTCGTGATACAGGCTATAAAATGTCACGTTAAGGTCAATAGGAGCCGAGCAACTAGTGACACCGCGCGGGACCAGTTAGTTGTTGATAAATCTAATAGAGTAAAAGAAAGAAATCTATATCAAGTCACAAACGCAATTAGCTTTCCGGAGCAGATACATTGTAGGATATGTCATTAGTTTGAACTTAGTAGCATAACAGAGGTACTTATATGACTATTGTACCTTAGACCTACTCAATATTAGTATTAAAAATGTTATACCTAATTAACTGTAGATAGACAATTTCTTATGTTAGAATGCATTTAATGTCGACGATGGTGATGCTAAGGAAGGAACTTACCTAGAAAGAGCTAAGGCAAACAGTTAAATTCGGAAAATAAGTGCAAATAGTAGAGTAGATGATTAAGAAACAACTTAAGTATACATGTTTTATAATTAGGTACCTATGCACATCTCTATTTTTTGTTGATTTCATGACAAAACAAGCAATTATAGCAACTTGATCTTTTTTTGTTTCCTACAAACGACAGAAAGAATCAGAAGAATAATTATTATCAGGACAATAATAAATTACGTTTTTAGTAGGTTGATTTATATTTAAGTACGTGGGTAATTTTCAGTATTCGCTTTGATTTGATCTTCTACGGCTTTCTCGAATGGCATTTAGTTTAGCATAATTGCGTGGTCACCAATAATTTGATGATGATGAGTGACTCATGACTGAGTATGGTAGTTTTTGCCATACTCATAATTCATAATCTATAAATAATATCTACGTAATTGCTTAAATCTATCAAATGCGATTTATTACTTTATCACTGATTCATTAATTTAAGTAAAGCGTTACTATCACGTCTTAATGACGTTGCAGTGATTTAAATAGGAAACTCAGCGATATCGCTAATTCATACAATGCCTTAATGTTCTGTACTCTGTAAAAAGTTCATTTTAGAATTTTCTAGAAAAAAAATGTAGGTATCTCATATTAATTTAATGCTTAAGTACCTATAATATTATGCATCTATACTTACTGAGCTGTAAGTAACAAGACGCTAGATTTTAATGTGTGCAGTGTGCACCATATAATGCATTTAATTTTTCATTTCACTATCAATGCTACCAGGTTATTCAGGCGTGACTTAATATTACTTGTGTATGAAAATTTTAGATTACCTACTTGATTAGCCATTATCGATGGTCAAAGAATTATTTTAAAGTTGGTCTTTACTTACTACTCGCAAATCGCAACAATGTGACGACACAGGCAGAACTTTGTTCTGCATTCATTGTTCCAAGTCCCACACTTTCATATACTTACATAAATTTGTAGGTAGTACATATTAAGTTCTGTAAAAATATTTATCATAATCTACATCTATAAAAATAGGGACGTTCCGTATCGTTTATTTATAAAACACCTATCTAAGTGGACCAAGCACTGGTTAATTACAAAGACATAGATACATTTCGCACTAACTTTAAAATAGAAACGTATCAGATTTTATCGTGTGCAATATTAGATTTATTTTTATTATTTTATCTTATCGTGCAACATGTTATTATACCAACAAACTGGCACTGATTTTTAAACTAAATCCAATAGCCTAGTTTACGGAAATTAGTATGTCAATTAGTCGCGATTACGAAAGGAAATCGGTTAGGTAATTCGTATAATCTCTAATACTGCCTAATACTAAATAATCTAGCATTTGAAGATAATATTTTGCCGCTGTAGGTAATAGATATTTTGTTAATGGGCGTTGGTGTTATAAAGAACGATAATTATAAACACATTAAAACATGTGTTTCTGCTGTACTTACCTATACAGGGCAACCGCAGAGTTGATGTTCAAGCATAAAATTTAGATACTTTATGATGTGCAGTATCAAAATCACCCCATGTATGTTTAATACCTAGGTATTGTCAAGGATTAATATATTTAATGGTGACGTTGCAAACTTGCATCCGTCATTGTGCCTTGCTAGGTAATAATGCCGATTTGATCACCCTTAGCTGACATTTAGGTACGTAGGTTTATACCTCTAGATAGTAAGTTACATACTCACTTATTTTTAATACCGTGTGACCAATCCCTAAAATCAATCATAATTTTATTGATAAATTACCTAAATCACTTTTAAGTGCTGTAGCCATTATTGTAGGAAAATAAAACCCAAAATATACTTCGTCGACTTTAGGAATTAACAATAAATTAATTCCAACAGGTACGTTAATTAAGTTAATATTAGATAGAAAAAACCAATCCGACTTTTCACTGCACTGATACTGTAATTAATACCGGATGCTAGTACATTTCTGATGTAATTAGAGCCTTATTCTTTATTACTTAAAGTATATTATCACATTTAAGGATTTTAACTACCGTCCTTTTGTGCCGTACTTATAGTACACGGCTTATTGCTTACCTTTACCTCTACCACAGAATACTTCCTCTACTCCGCTCGTCCATAATTGTTGCAGGGAATAGTGGAACTTAGTATTACCTAAATTTTGTATCTAATTGCTTCAATCCAACTGATCACATCGGAGGTTTGAGCTCGAGAGCTTGCAGGACATCCACAGCTCCAAATTTATAAGTGCGTTATTGGCCTTTAGTCGGGGTTTAGGCGTCCGGTAAACTGACTTACATACCCACACGGCGAAACATAACACAAAAGTTTTTTACACCAGTATTCTCTAAGACATTTCACCAGTAGATTTGTGTTAAAGCGTGGCTCTCCTATGTGAATATCTCGTGAAACCAATGCCGTTTTCTTTTCATCAACCTCTTAAATTTTAAAGCTAAGCTAAGCTGCCTAGACTAGTATAAGTAGGTACCTATGACGCTTGTCGACATTTTGGTATCTGGAGTCCACATGAGGACAAATATAAGTATATGATAGAATAATAATCAATACCATATCCAACGTTGTTTGTACTGGGTATGGTAGGATACTACCTCTACAAACTAGAAGTGAGGCGTGAAGTACCTCTAGCTACTTATTTATTTAAGGTGTTGCAAGGTATAATGCACCACCCCGCCCTATTGGAGGAATTACAGCTGTGTGTTCCGGACGAGTACGGGCGGCGTAGGCGGCGGCCGCGGCTGCTGGTGGTACCGTGTGCACGCACGAACCTCTTGCAGAAGGCACCATGACGCGAGCGTTGCGCATATTAAATGCAATAGCGGACAGTACGGATATATTCTCGTGTACACTCAAGGAGTACCTGCCTTCCTAAAAATGAACTAGCAGTGGACATGCTGTGTCTTGTCATGATATATAACAGAACAGGGGACAGGGATACCTTTGTTAGAAAATCTGTCAATCTGTCCTACTAATAAAATATTAGTGTCATTTGTTTGTTTATTAAATTATCGGTGTTATCATTTCTTTAGATGCCATGTACAAGCTGAAAGCAGTTCAAATTGACGGTTGCGATGAAAGGATCCCATGTTACGTGACAATAGGACAAAACGTGTCGGTCACTCTGTATTTTCATGCCGGTAAGTCAGTTACAGAATTGTAAATGTTTGTACATTTAAAACACAGGTTAGTTAAGTTAGTACCTACCTATTAGTTCTATTTAAACCAATTATCATCTCGGTCAGCAGTCAGTTTTGACTTGTAAATACTGCAACTGTGGTCAGTTTATTACCGACTTCAACAAAAGGAGGAGGTACTATGTTCGGCTGATTGTTTTATTTTTTGTTTGTTCGCGCAGTACTCCGCCAATTGTGAACCGATTTCGAAAATTCTTATGTTGTTTGAAAGGGTATACTCCCGAGATGGTCCCATTTCCATGAGGTCAGGATCTGATGATGGGATCCTAGGGAAACCGAGGGGAACTTTCGAAAATTCTATGGGCGAGTAATGCGTCTATTATGTTTTTCAATTAGGATTTTTAAACACTACAATTTGATAAGGGTCTGGAGTCGACCTGATGATGGACCCGACAGACAGTCGAGGGAACTCCTCAACGGTATACAATAACTACCTTGTGTTTGGGCTTGATTAATTTGTATTGATGAGGACTTTACACCTAGATAGAGTGGGGCTGTCAATAAGGGTCTGATGATGAAGAAGTGTAATTGTTAAGGGAACTCCTTCTTATGTAATTTATATTATACCTATATATACGGATTTATGTATGTATTTACAGTTATGCATAATCATTAATTTATTCATATAGATTTTTCTGTGTCACTTAAACCATAATACCTATTACACCTACTGTTGCACATCTCTGCATCACCCCATGGTTGACTGTTAGGGAATGCCACCCGGCATTAAGTCCGCCAACGTATGTTTGTTATACAGAAGTGTAAATAAATAAAAAAACTCCTCAACGGTATACCGTAACTACCTTGTGTTTGGGCTTGTATAATTTGTATTGATTAGAACTTTGCACCTATGTAGATTATAAATAACAAAACGAGTATTATGTAGCTTTACACTTAAAATGAGATAAAATAACTTTTAACAAAAAAAAACCGACTTCAAAAGTAAATAAAAAACAAAAAGAAAAAAATAACTTACTAAATATGCAATTTATAATACTTTTAAATTACTACTTACTATGTAATTAATAAAAAAACTATTATTTTCTTAACACTAGTCTAACTACTGCTTGGTTTGAAGTCGTACTGCTTCATTGTCAGACCCTTATTGACAATTACACCCCACTTAGGTGTAAAGTTCTCATCAATACAAATGAATCAAACCCAAACACAAGGTAGTTAAGCTGTTAACCGTTGAGGAGTTCCCTCGACTGGCTCTCGGCTCCATCATCCGATCCACCCCAGACCTTTATCAGATGGTAGTGGTTTTTAATACTTAATAAAAAAAATAACAAATGCACTAGTCACCCCTATAATTTTTAAAAGATCCCCTCGGTTTCCCTGGTCTTCCATCATCAGATCCTGATTTCCTTATCATGGGACCATTTTGGGACTATCTCCTTTCCAACAAAAAAAGAATTATCGAAATCGGTTTATAAATAACGGAGATATCGGCGAAAAAACATAAAAAAAAGCATATATACGGTCGAATTGAGAACCTCCTCCTTTTTTTGAAGTCGGCTAAAAATAATAAAATGAAAACTGCGTTTAAAAAACCGACTTCAAAAAACCAAAAACTAATAACAAACAAAAAGTCAAAACTAAAAAGCAAAAAAATAACTATTGTTAGTACTGGTTACCCACCCACTGATAGGTTAGAAGTCGGTGCCATAAGCTCATATCATAATGATATAACTAAATGCCCACAAAATTGTGAATTAGTTACCTATTAAGGTTTTAATGAATAATTTTGTATGGAACTTATGGCACCGACTTCTTACCTATCAGTGGGTGGGTAACCTATTAGTACTAATAATAGTTATTTTTTGCTTTTTAGTTTTGACGTTTTGTTTGTTATTAGTTTTTGGTTTTTCGAAGTCGGTTTTTTTACATTTATTACTAAGTAATAAATTTGTGTGAGAATAATACTTTATTTGATGTTACCTTGATGAGACATCTATAGTTAATTATGAAATGTGTTATTTTTTCACAATTTTTGCAAGCTATGACAGTGTGATTATTCTTACAGATTATTTATACCAAAACTTGGACCAAGACGCTTGGATGGACCTAAATGATGTTGTTTCACAAGCAAAAGTTATTCCTGGTAAGTCCTGTTAACTGGCAGATTGCTATAAAAAGAGAAAAGAAGGCCCATTTCACGTTGCCTGATTGCATTTCAGTTAGCTTAACAATATACTACACATCATTTTGAATGGAAAACAATCCTCAACCCAAACCTTCGTCAAGTTATCTACAAGTCTACAAGTATCATTAAAAAGTCATTAAACCAAGGCATTATACATTTCAAACAATTATAAAGAAAGGGAGAAATAAATCCTTAATTAATTGACCAATTTTACAGATGGTAGTATAATATAAAAAAAATAATAAGAAAAATACTTTAGGACTCAACCTTTAGCAATTCCCTTTAGGACCCAATTAGACAAATTATCGCGCAGATGGCGACCATGCCACTTCTTTCTTTCTAAACCAATTAAACTTTACTGAGTTCTGATATACATATTTACTTACTTATACTTAGACACCCGATCGATTCTGATGCATTCTGCCAGAAATCATTATTCTACGCGGACGAAGTCGCGGGCCACAGCTAGTTAATAATAATATCAAATGAGCGTTCTGCGCTGCGGGCTGTAAAGTACCTACTCTATGATATCTACTATATAATATTATTATTATAGGACAATTACCGCTTTTACATTAACTAAGTGGAAATTCCTACTTGTGGGACATTCAGGAACTAAGTTCTAAGTCGTTGATACGAACAAAATAACGTTGTTTTTCTTTTTTTATGATTGTCGAGCTTCAAGACACATTGGAATATAAATAATAATATTCAAGTACTAAGAGATGCCTACTTGTTAACCATGTAGTGTCTTTATGCTAATGCAGTATTTGATACAAAAAAAAATTAAAATTGCATGAACAATGCTGTGGTTGCCTCACCACGAACACCACAACTTAGCTGTGTCTGTGAATAAGTAGTTAGTAGGTATGTTACTCTATATAAATATATGTGTATATGCTATCGATTAAACATTTTCCTTGTTTCTGAGAAATTACTGACGTTATTGTGATAATAATGTGAAGGCTATAAATAATTGTGAGGTATAATTATGTCCCCACAAAATTGCAATCTTGAAAACTTCCAAGCGCCATGTTCCGGCACAGAGGTTCAGATTAATAAATAGTTAGACAATATATAGAAATGCACCTTAGTTAGTACCTAATTACATAAGAAGGTAACGAACTAGATAGAAGAAGATACAACGTGTGCACTGTGTAAAATCGAAATCGATCGGGAGGCTTTTATTTGTTTTTGATTACTTAACTGATTGAATGATTTAGTTTTATCGTGAGCACCAAATACCTTAGCATCAAAGTAAATATGCGCATTTTTGCACGTTCTTTTGGATTGTGCTTGTAGGTGAAGATTCTTCTAGGTAGATGTCCGATGAATGACGAAGAATAGTGAACTTACGAACTGTACTTAAATCTCAGGGTCAATGGAAAAATTATTATTAAAGTATTGTTAATAACATAACAACATAGTTAATTTATTATTAAATTATTATCTGTGACTTTTACAAACTCTATTTTCGTATGCAAGACACGTCCTATTATGGTACATAGAGTAGGTATCGAGCAACTAGTTTTGTACGGACGTGATTGACTTTTGAGTTATAAGTGAATGTTTTTGTTGACTCGAGAGAGCTCGGTCCTTCCATTCGGGACGTTAGCTTGCATAACAGTTATGTCAGTGCGAGCTACAACTATGGCCTACTGTAAAGTAAACGGTACTATAACGGCTAAGTAATACAAAGCGAGGTGTAACAGTCGCCGGAACCAATCGGTAACGGCCAGTCGAAATTATTTATGGAATAGGAGGCAAACGAGCAGACGGATCACCTGATGGTAAGCGACCAGCGCCGCCCATGGACACCCGCAACACCAGACGAGTCACAGGTGCGTTGCCGGCCGTATGTCACTCATCAAAGGAAAAAGCAGACTCCAAAACCTCAAAGGCTAATTCGATATGTGGGTTCTATCTACCCGTTTCCACTAATAGCTTGAAAGTCGGTGTCACACCGACTTCCTACGACTGTGCTGCAAGTCTTAAAGACGTGGAGTTAAAATTATTTGCTAAGGATGGGTCTTTTGTAACGAGTACCTACGTTAGAAGTATCTTAGGTGTGTATTGTTAAGACAGTATAAGTATTTGTTTACTTAGGTGTTTTAATTCCGCAGGAACATGTCAGACGAGCTACAATTGTTCAACAGTATCCACTATGGACACGATAACTTCACTTACTGGCGTGGTTACGGTGCCTGATGACATTCCAACGGTAAAAACTACAATATATTCTGATAAGCACGCCTTTATCCTTTGGGTATTGTCACTCTTTGTGAGCTGGTTTTAGTCTGTGGGTTAGATAATAGATGAATGTTCATTTATATATCTGCTTCTTATTTAATTTTAGATTTTTTTAATGCTGGAAATGCTATAATACTTCTAGTGTTTTAAACTGTCAAACACCGCGAGGACACCGGTGACAGCAACCTATTGTTCTTTACCTTCACATACGTGAGCCAGTAAATATACTCTGGGATATTAAATTAATTAAATTATCTATACCAATGAAGCAATTACTTTTACAGAGCGTACGTGGTTTCATGCATTGGCTCACAAAAAGTGACGGACAACCATTGCTGTGTTACTTCGTGAGAGTAGAAACTCAAAGGACTGAACAGAAACGTTTGCGGGATCTCTTCAATTTATACAAATATGACACAGAGGAAGTACCATCTCCTGACAACGAAAAATTGGTTAATCCATGATTGATATTTACTGTAACGTGGACTAATAAATATTATGTACAAATCCACTCAATATAGATATTATAATTTAGTATTTTATACGTATACCTACTATACAGTGCCGGAATAAACACGTCACAACGGGCCCCACTCAAAAAACGACACCATACTCCTCTCACCTCTACCTCTATATGATAAAATAATGAAAAGGTTCTCAGATGTGTATCTAATATTCAATAATTCCTACATTAACTAAAAATCACGCGTTACTCACATGAACATACTGAGAAAATCTTCACTAGTTTCGAACCACAGAGGGGTTCTTCCTCATGAGCAGCGTGCGCGGTCGAGGCGATGTCGCGCAGCGTAGGTACTATGTCATTTAGTTGTGTAAACTGCGATTTTTAGTTAATTTAGTATGTCTCACGATCGTTATTATAAAAACAATTCATTCATTGCCTAACTACCATGCCTTATTAAATGAGGTTGGTTAATAAACTGTACCTGTAACACCTGTGTACTGTACTGTACATTAATTATAATTAAATTAAAATAAAATAAAATGATTATTTGTGGTTCATGGTAAGAACCTATAGCAGATTAATGATAATAGTAGGTGCCTACTTATTACTGCTGATAAACTAGAACTACCTACATACTAAATCCGGCACAGCTTATCACTTTTGTTACCCTCTCCATAAGTACTTTTTGCCATGTATATTACCTATAAGTTTAGTCTTCAATTTTAATGTTTATTTTGTTGATTTTATTATTTTTCTTGTGACGTAGTTTTACTTAAACGGCCTAGCCCTCCGATAGTATTTTAATTTTATTGTTAGTATGTACAATATTATGTAAGATAAGAAGTTTTATTATAACGGAGACCGCGTAGGAATATTATTATTATACGGCAAATGAGATAGGTACTCAATAAAAATTTGGTACCTAACCATTTCTTAACGTTTATTTAATATTATGTACGTATTAGTATACCTAGATTTACATATTGTGTATATATAAATAAATAATTATACTATTACACATAAGTATATTTTTTTAAACTATACCTACATATAACAGTGTCTAATAAATTGTATGCGTTACCCAGGCCAGATGTTGTCGAAAATGGTCATTTGAACCTTATAGATAATTAGTTGTGCGGCTTCTGTAATTGTTGCGCACATTTTTAAATTTGTTGCGCTTATAGTTTTTAAATTATTTCACAAAAACATTTCCTGCTGGGGTAACGTTACCCCAGCCAGACCTTTTTCTTTCTAATGGGAATATTTAAATAATTACTAGCTATAAAATTAGTTGTCAAGATGAAGTAAATGTTGTGACTGGTTTTATATTTGTTCTTTCATCGGTTGCGTAGTTATTCGAGATTTTGCTGGGGTAACGTTTTCGATTTTGCTAGATCTTTGAAATGGTTAAGCGGATCCTTATCAAATTTTGTACATGACTTCTTAGGAATTAGTTCAAATTTGTTGTGCAACAAAAAATCAAAACAATACATAGCTTAAAAGTTATTTCATTAAATAGAAAAACACTTCAATTGGACCCAGCACTCTCAATAAGAGCTCTAAAGACTTACTTTAAACGTTATTTTAAAGCTTGTAAGTGCTTTCAAATGTATGTGAAGTTTCATTAGTATCCTATAAGTATTGAACAAGTTATGGTGATATTGAGTTCTGCACGAGCACGGTCTTGATGCGCGCGGTGCTATTTGGCCACTGGATTGGATATATGAACTGAATGTTATGTCAATAATTAGTTGTTTAGTTCAGTTATGTATCAGTAAAATTTCAGATCAGTACATTGGATAATTAATGAGATAATACGATTAAATTCATTAGGAAGGGAATGACCGTGGTAACCTGACCAAGTTTAGGTGGTTACGAAAAAGCGAAAAAATAGCAAATGACCATTTTCGACAACATCTGGCCTGGGTAACGCACACTAATAAATTGCAAAAAAGCTAATAGGTACAAACAAATCTATAGAAAACGTTTTTATCTAGACCACTTGCAAATTTTTTTATTTAGTTGTAGGTAGCGGTATGTATTAAATGTTTATATTTAATTAAATAAAGATACTGAATACTTATTTTTATTTCCTTTTTCTAAGGCGATTTTATTTAAAACAGCAATCTAATACTTAGATACTCCAGAACAACACATGTGACACCTTGTGGAAATGATGTCATCTGGCTTTCGTTAATTTTATTGTCAACCATACTTGTTGCTTTACGGCCGTTCCCAATATTCTATCTATCCCTTGTTTTGCCCTACTGGAGATAGAAAAATCTATCTATCTTTAAATTTGCCGTCTCAATAAACTTACTGGCGATAGGCAAACTAATCTATGGTTGTCATTACCTGTGGGAGGACGGATAGGTTATCTACAGATTGCTTTTACTATGAAATTGACAGTTCATGCGTCCCAATAATAACAAAGGTGCTATCTGTCAGTGACTTTGGTTATCCCTAGTAGGCTTTAGCTCTATCGCAGGATTTTGAGGGATAGGAGTATAGTTATCAGTGAAGATCAGTATATATATCTTTTCTATTTCTTAAAAATACATCAGATTTAAACAAAAAATCATTTCGGACTCCAGTTCAAGTAGTAGTTCAAGTGCTATTGATATTTTGAAACAAATAAGGAACTGGGAATCTGACGAGGACGATGTGGTTACCACAACACGACCATATCAAGAGCGTGTTAATTACATGTACAGATATGACGATTACGAGTTTGTGTATAGATTTAGGCTAAGAAGACTAAATTAGAGAATTTTATACTTGTCCGTTATTCATACCTACATCTTTATTTTAATTAAGTGTTCCAGTGGACGAGAAATGAGATAAACATTGAATGTGCAAAATGCATAGTGTAATAAAAAGATGGTTTAGAATAAACTGTTTTATTTTATTTAATTATATGAATTATTATTGGGTTGTTTCTCCTTCTCCAGTATATCTAGCTAGAGTTTCCGTTTCTTTAATGCATGTATTTCTTTTCGATCTGTTATTGACTCATATCATCTGCATCAGCTCGTCTTTTCTGTTTTCCTAGAAAAATATTATTTATAATTATAATATTATTTATAGTGTATTATTCCATTTTGCTCCTCACCATATAAAAGTTTTATAACTAAACAGTATTGAAAAGTAAATAGTCATAACCAATACCAAACCCCAAAAATGAAATATACAAGAAACTATCTGTGATACCTAATCCTCCAAGTCGCATCCTTGAGCTGGTTATTGCTGGCATTTGTGACTTTGCTGAACATCAATGGATTTGCCTCCACCAATTGTACCAGCTGCATTACTTCTTCTTTCGTCAATAGCATATTCTTTTGCTACAATGAGTGCACCAAACACGAGTTATTAGTCACATGTATGTTCATGCAAACAACAAAAAATATTCAACAATCCAAGTATAAAAGTTCAGTGAAAGCCATAGAACTAAACTTCAATAGCTTCAATCTAAAGCTAGAAAAGCACAAACTGTAATACTTACTGAGCTCATTTATTATAACAAACAATTCTTTGTTATATTATCATAATTTATTGTAAACAAAATCAACAAACAACAATGTCAAATGTCAATGTTTTAACAAACACGTTCCGTTACAAGTCGCGCACTCATCCAGTCGCAAACATGAAGTTTTCGTTATATTTAACTTAAAAAAATATTGTTTACTATAAAATTTGTGCAAAATATAAGGTTTCGTTAATTAATTCAAAATGTTTGTGATATAAACATGACAAGATGCTTTGAAAACATTATTGTAACTTAGTGGCACTCTGTGGGGCTCTGCATACAATGAAACACATGGGAGGGCTCAGATAGGCACCCTATCTACTGATATCTAGAGATAGCAAAGACACATTTTAGTTATTGGGACGACATCGAAAGATAGATAGCTTTTAACTGACTATCGAGGATAGCTATCTATCTTTACCTATGGATTGAATATTGGGAACGGCCGTTAGATAATGGTTCATCTGCTTACCCTTTTGGCAACATTAAGCCTGTGCGATATTATGCTAACTAATTTCTGAAACAACTGTCAATCTCAGAGGAGACTAATCAACTAAGAATGAAATAATGCTTATACTGCAATAGGTAGTGTTACGTGCACAAGTGTGTATGTGTGTGTGTGTGTGTGTGTGTGTGTGTGCTCGTGTGTGTTTAAGCACTGGTGCATTTGTCCTCCTCACTTTTATAATGCGATGGGACAACAATCTGACACGTCTGAAGATCAATAATGGCACCATAGCCGTTAATTTTAATGTGTAAGCAAAAAGAAAATTAATAAGAATTTTAAATATAATAATACCTAATATATTAATGTTATTGCGATTAACTTCACATATTTTACGAAACAAATAAAATGTTATGACATATTATAACATCACTCGGATACAGTGTCTATCCAACGTGACTTAAATCTATAATTACAAAACCAAGAAACAACAATACCTAAGTTTTTAGGATAGTGTATCCAAAGGTTATCCAATGCAACCCCGCTGTTATTTACATTTATTTCAACAAACAACAATAATGTAAACAATCAAAAATAAAACAAGTCGACGCTTGGTGATACCTAACTGTGTACGTAGCGACTTGATAATAAACTAATAAATAATACGTCAAACATAAGTAGTTATAATTTGAAAATGTAATAGCTACTTTAATACTTTGATAACATGAATTATTTTTATGTTTTCGGTTTACTCACGTAACTGTTTGACGAGGGATTTAACTAGTTTCAAGACATGCTATAGGCATTCATGAGCAGCATTCCGCGACCTGCGACGCGGCGACTGTTGCGCTGCTACTCCTAGCTAGAACCTCGGAGAACCTAACGGGTAACCGGGGCTCCGGCTTAACGTGCAGGAAAAAGAACGGGGTGGTTTTTAGTCAGTAAGAGTCTGACACTCCCTCCCGCCTCACCTAATCGGGAGCAGTCATTCAATGATTTCCCCCCCTTAAAAAAAGCATGGCTTGAAACTAGTCGAGGTTCCTCGTCAAACAAGTACGTGTGTAAGCTGAAAACATAACAATTAATTTAATACTTATGTCTCACGAAAGTTTTAATATATACGTTTGATAAGATGAATAAAAACTTTACTTTTTCTTGTAAGTTTTCATCAACCTATAAGTGGCACTTAAACCTACAAGTAAAGGTTAGTTTAGGTGCTACATCACGCTAAGTAATTTTTAGTTAAGAGATGGTTTAGGGGTGGCTCGTGAAAAGGACCATTAGTATCTTTTAAAATCCTTCAAGGACACCAGCCCAAATTACAACATCATCATAATAATACGAGCCACAAGACATACATACTGTCACTTTTGAACATAGGATATCTCCAAATGACTTCTAGATCGTACGGTTGCAACTAGCTACTAATGACTTTGAATTGTTTGCCTGCCAGAATAAGATTTACCTGCTGCAGACTGCTCCACTGTTAGTGCCAGATTGAGGTTTGTAGCGTGGCAACGCTACGCGTAAAAAAGGGCCCGCTTACCATAATCACTAGAGCATCAGGGTAAAATTTGGTGTTTATGCTTAATTTTGTAATTTTAAGGACCCCCCGGGCATGCTGCCCAGGTGGAGTGGAATAATATAGGTATTGTTTATTTTTTTGAACGTGATAAAGCCTAATAGGTACCTATGACAATAAATACATAGGACTTACGCATGTTAACTAGTGAAAAGTTGGTAAGTACCTATTTGTGCCTACTACATACTGTGTATAACGGAATAAGTACCTAATTATATGATAAGTACCTAACTACTTATTTACATAAGTTTTCTGACTTCATTTCTCCCAGAATATTTTTTTAAATAGCTATGTACATGTCTATAGGTAATTATTTACTAAACTGATGGAGTTTTAATATGAAATTTAATTTAGTACTGTACGTCCGTACAGTAAGTAAAGTGTTTATCAATTATTCAACTTGAGATGCTGTTTACCGTGACACAGCACAGACTTAACCGTAGAGAGTTAATTAAACAAGTCACCTTGTGTATTTATAGGTAGGTACATAGGTAGGGAATTTACTCAGCGATAGAGGATAGATTTTCTTTTATTTTTATTATACACGACTTTATGACTGTGGTCCAAAAGTGAGGATTAACTTAGTATGTGCCTATTGCCTATTCATAAACTTACCTACATCTTACATAGACTATAGAATCACATGAAAATGAGAAATAGGATGCTAAACCAAGATTTAATACAACTAACTTACGTCAAACACCCGGTTTTGCCCTCATACTAGCACTTTCTTATCGTACCTAGGTGCATCTCCAAAAACACAATTTCTTATAGGTAAGTACCTACACATCACACCTAAACCACGCACAACCATTTATAGATCAGTCTGGATCACACAGACTTCTTCAGTGCGGGAATCGAACCAGGGACCGCTACCCGACGTGTCACTACTGCGCTGCGGTAACCGAGCAGGCAAATACTCATTATTGGCAGTTTAACAAACTTCAAATTACACAAAACAGAAAGGGGCTAAACCTTGTATTAAGTAGATTCTTTAAATTATTCATAACCTAAGTAGGTAGGTATCTAGCTACCTACTAATGCAATCATTATAAAACACAAGTTGATTTCCCAAGGCAAAGTGCTAATGCAAAAACTTGCTTTTTCTTACATGCTATGTAATAAAATGTATATAATTGTATAGATACCCATTTGGAAGACAATCAACTTGAATCTGTGTAGTTTAAATATTAGGATTGACTACATTTCTACGAAGTGACACCGAACAATGCCCAATAACTCACAGGCGATTCGATGGCGAGTCAATTTATTGATTTCGAACAATACTACCTACGTTATCCCTATATCTGCTGCATATCTCATAAATTGTCTGAGTGGCAGTATATAGCAGCACGCGACCACCACCACTGCATACACTGGCACGCTCGGTCGCAGTCAACACGTATCACTGTCCCACACGAGTCGTCGAGGAGATCGCGTAGTGTTTCCGCGGCGCAAGCGTTGCATTGTGTTCTCCTGCACGTATAAACTATACCTGCTCTCTGAGCGTGACGCTCGCGCTGCATCGTCGTCCGTCAGACGCCGCGCTAGACCGCAACTCAATACTCATCGCCAGACGCAACAATGGTCCCTCTCCGTGTAGTCGTGTGCTTCGCCCTGCTCGCGGCCGCAGCCGCAACCAACGTCAACCAATGTCCAGGTAATATTCACTCTCTTTACATAAGCACTTAGAACGCGACCCGCTTTCGTCTCGTTTCGCGTTCACAGCAGAAATTATTGTTGTTATTTGCTAACGTATTGCGTTGTATTGCCCATGTTTATGACAATCCAGGTCAGTAAGACATAAAAGTACTACTTACTTATGTTGTGTTACAGTTTTTTTTTGTTTCACTATTCATCAGAGCGAAATTGGAATGCAGAGAGGATTTCTTTGTTTATTTATGTTGGTTACCTCTACTCATCTAAATAAAAGAACAACACGATGAATTAAGATGAATTATGCATAGAATAATTTAAGAAGATAATTATCAGCATGAATGTAGCGTAACACGAGATGCATTAATTGTTCACCTTTATCTAGCTTTACCAAAGTCGGTTAATCTGATGAAGAATGAGATGTTCATTTTTCTATTATTAACCGCTTGAATGCACCGATATGAGACAGAATAGAAAATACATTGTGTGTCGCGTGGATCTACCTTCGTTTAGAAACACGATGCGTTATTTACCTACTACGTACATACCTATATATCTAACTAACGTCAACCTCGGATTACAAAATTACATAAACGAAAAGGGGAATTAAAGAGATTAACGACACACCCGTAGATGCATCGCAACGCAATGCATGTGTGTGCTCTATCTAGCTATACACCGTGTTTATATCATTTTCGTGCCGCAGCAAAACAACTTGCCAGTAGTACTTTCGATATATATAAAGTAAAAACAAAAAAATAAAGATGACAATTTTGTTTTAATTTCAAAAAATATTTATCTACTTACGCACATAAGACCTTGGTGTAAATTGGTAGGCACTATATGCATCGCACGTGCCACTCGACGAGAAATTCCTTTTCGAGAATTACTAGGCGTGATGTTTTGATTATGTAGTATCTATCTATCTATGAGTTCGTATGCGCTTTCAAAGTTTGCGTTTTACAACGTATCACCAGTATTTTTTTGGTTTAAACATTTTATTTATTTGTAAACCTATTGTATTACCGACAGTAGGTACCATTTTATTTCGGTACGAAAACAATAAATAATATCACTTTATTTGTACAAATACTTATAAGAAGACAGATCAACTTGTCTAGAGTAAATATATCAGTTCGACCTATGCCCTCGCTTTGTAATCCTATACAAGTAGGAATTCGTAAACTCTATTGTTTTTATCTGAGAACGGAGCATAACGGAGACGTTAAGGGAAATTGACAATAAAGCTATAAAAATAATATATTTACAGTTAATAAATTATCATATTATGGCATCGAATTTGATAAAGCAACAAATCAAAAAATATTTTATTTTAACTTCTCGAAACCTCTATCATGCCTCGGGTTGGAGGCACTATGGGGTACCAAGTCCGACGCACACTATTTCGCGTTGTACATTGAGGAACTTAGGAGTTTTTTTAGGTCACCTTAGCTGATTTTTAAGACATGCATCAATTGCGTGTTTCATTTTTTCTATAGACAAAATACCGATCACACTTTTCTTTCATATGTCGAAACGTTTTAGTATAATGTCAATTATCCAATAAACAGATCATTCCTTTAGTTAGTTTACTTACAAATAGGGGTAAAAATTCAAATTACTTTACTCCATAGTGTACTTCATAGGGTACTCCATCCATAGTTCATAGTACGCCGTAGGATGTCCTCGTCTTGTCCATGTCTAACATAATTTTAAGTAAAGAACAAAAAAGTATCGTTGGTAAGAGTTGGTATTGTTTAAACTATAACAATAAATAAGGTTACTTAAACACAATAGAAAACTGTTGGTTGGTAGGTATGTAATAATTGTAAACATTATTATTCATTTTCGTCAACATTCTAAATTGGATGAACCGACGTCAATTAATATTTTATTGTAAAAAATAAACGTATAAACTCCAGGCGTCGGGTCCCTATTTTATTGAAGACAGTAATAGTTGTAAAAAGGACACTTATTAGAGAAAAGAATAAGTGCGTTATGTGCATAGTTACTTGCAATCGTTGACATGCGTGCCCATCGTGCCTCGGAGTCGTGACCCCGTTAGGCATGCTTCCCCTTTTCCCTTACTTCTTATATATTCAAATTTTTATTTCAAAAACACAGCACACGTGTATAGTCTATTGAGAACTAATTTGAAATTTCATTTAAATACCTAATTAGTTAAGTAATTTGAATTGAAAATTCCAAAACCCATTAAACATTAATTTTGGATGGACTAAGCTCTGAACCGAGATGACCATACTTTACCAACAGTCCTTTTTTCTAAAATTTTGAACGAAGATAATTTACATATTGCTTACATAATACCCAGTATAAATATTATGTAAATTATTGATACGCTCATTATTCATGATTTATACATTTTTGCCGACTTCATTCTGTGCATAAGTAGTTCCAGTAAAAGAAATACAGAAAATGAACACACCTCTTTGTGTTGACAATGATCATTCATTGGAATTTTTAAATCTCACTTCTATGCACCGAAAGCATGAGTAACACGGTTTATAATACTTACCTTCATTATGTGCAAATGGGTATATGATGTTATACATCATAAAAAATGTATCTAATGTGACTAATAATTTAAACGCCGAGTCTTTTTATTACCTACCTAGTCACTTATCAGCTTGTTGCTTATTGGTAATGACAATGAGTATGACATCTTAATACATTATTCCTTATTTATCTTTGTGGTTCGGAAATTAAACAATAGTCGATCGTGTAACCGCTTCTGTCTGTATCGTTAGAAATTAGCATTGTCAGTAGATGTTAAACAAGAACTTTAGCAACTCATAACTTAGGTACTATAGCATAACACGATAGAACTCTCATACATTCCCCTAGGTTCACGACGAGGGCTGGGAGAGAGGTCTCCAAATATGTTTGGAGTTAATTTATTTAACGTTGGTGTAATTCATAGTACATTGTCACAGCCTTTATCAAAAGCAGCCATCTTGATATATAAAATAATAAAAAGAGTAGTATTTAAGTAAATGTAATATGTGTAGAGAATGATGGGTCTGGCATTGTCTTTCTGTGACCAAAAGACCCTTTAAAACCTCCCGAGGCCGTCTAGGGAAGATAGACAACATCTATATAACTTTTTCAATTAACCTATCACTCCTGCGAGACCATAAAAAGAAAATAGCGACCAGACCAAAGACGTTGAAACTTGCTTTTACCACGTATGTAGGTAACATCTATTAAATTTTATAGCTTCGAGGGAAGAGAACCTAATAGGATTTGCGTTCAGTGGAAGTAATAAAATAAAATTAAATCGTCGTTCTTCAATGCAGCTAAAGCTAAACACATGACAAAAGAGTCTCAATAAAAACTGAAATCTCCTGATGAAACGAGTACCTAAATAGGTTGGAAATTTGAAAAGAATTGTTATGTAATTCTCGATAAAAAAATTAATGTATACCTAATGCATAAAGTTTTACACATTCATGTACACAGGGAGTTATGCTTAACACATTTATATACTTAGAGGAATATAGTTATTATTCACTAGCTGTGCCCGCGACTTCGTTCGCGTAGAATAGTGACTATGGGCAGCGTTTTTTTTTTAAATATATACTTATTTTTGATTTAGATACATAATCACAGTCATTTTGGGTAGCTAAAAAACCTACTTTACTGTAATGCTTCTCTATATACAATATTAGACGTATGGCCATCGGGGGTGAAAGCATACAGGCTGCTGGGATTGCTAACACGGGACAGAGCCACATACAATTGTTGACCGTGCGAAAAACAGCTGATACTTAGATCTATACCCAAAACTTTTAGAGTCTGACCTTGAGCTTTATTAATTGTCATGGCGAAA